CTATGTTTACTAAATAAATTTTCTTTTTCTACAAGGATTTACGAGATTAATTTGGTGGGTATTGATTCGTTTGATCATATTAGATGCGTTTTATATCTAGCTTTATATGTGGAAGTGATAGTAAAATCGGTAGACCAGGTCCATTGGACTTCTTTTTCATTGTTTTAGGTATAGAGTATTTAAAAAAGATAAAGCATGTATATTAATTTACTTAAACAGTTAAAATATTTCTACCTTTTTTAAGGGCTCATTTGATTCAAGGAACATTGATGTAAGGTAATAAACTAGCTAGTTAGATAAAATAAACTCAAAATCGAAAAAAGAAAAAAAAAAAATATATATATATATAGTAACACAAATATATTAGGACAAGAATTGTATATTTTGAATGAAGAACTGATACACAAATCACAATCCCATTTTGAGCAAAAAGTAAGAGAATAATCAGATGAGAAGAGCACTATCAAAACCAACCAATTTGAAGAACACAATAATATAATCTCAAGAGGAGGGTGTTGGCCACTTCTTTTGGATTTCAAAGTGGTAACTCACATCCAAATAGCATTTTCCATCATCATCCACAAACTGCGTAACCAAAAATAAATAAATAAAGATTTTGATTTTAAATTTTCATCAGACATGTCAATATTTTAATTCGCATTTTTACATGTTGATAAGTTTAACATTGACATGAGTGGTGAATCTATATTTCTATAGTATTACAAAAGAAAAATTGACAAATATTTTAAAAGAATCCATAAATTAATATATAGACTTAATATTAATCTTCATAATTATTTTTAACTTAGTTTAAAAAGAATGAAATGTTTATCGATGAATTTTTTATTTTTATCAATATTTTATCTATACTTTTCTTAACATTTTCAAAAAAAATCGAGATTTTGAATTTTCCATCAATATCAATATTTCAAACCTTGACCCTTAATACAACATTTCTTTTTCCATAAACTATTCGCTGAAATAAAAATCGTAGCCCTATTTTCGATAATGGTTTCGTTTTTCATTTTTTATTTTTGGAAATTAATATTATAACATCTGTACTAATGTTTACTTTTTCTTACCCCTGAAAAATGCTTTTTGAAATTTTAATCAGATTCCAAAAGTGATAGGGTTTTGAAAATGAGAAGTTAATTATAAAAATTTCAAAAATATCTTTAACCACTAAAAAATACTAGAATCAACTAATTTAAACATAGTTCAACGGATTAAGATATCTATTTCTAATAAAAAAATCGTGAAACTTTCGAATCTCTATCCTATATGTTATCCTGAAAAAAATACTAGAGTCGAAGTTTAGGTTTTGACCTTTGTTCTGGCGGAGTACGACCCTCTGGCAAGCATGCCAGAGGGCGTAGTTTCTTCCTCCATTTCAATAACATAAGGTTCTTTTTGGGGACTGAAAGTTCCCAGCATTTTCTTGGTATGATCCACTGCCAAATAAAATGATACCCATCAGACAAGAATAAATTCAGATGATGCTGTTAAAAAGCTTTTGAGTTTGAAAACAAACCTCTTACACCGGTCTTCCAGACGGTGTTCGTGTACTTAAGACCCGAAACAATGTTCTCGGTGACGGTGAAACTGAACCGGAGACGGTACCGGGAGCCTTCCTTGAGGGCAAAGAGGCTGCTGCTCTTGGAGGTTTTGGTAAATGGCAATGGCAGCACAAGATCTGGCCGCCCTGCACATTTGATTGTTAGCCTCAGCACCTTCACTTCTGCTTCTTTGCTTTCTGCTTCACCAAACAAATTATTATTAAACGGACTCTTACTGGTCGTTTCGTTACGTTTTCGTTTTTCGTTTCATGTGTTTAGAAAATATATGCAAATGTTGTTTAATAAAGGATTAGAGAGATCACACGTACATTTTATTTTATTTTTTCTAAAAACTAAAAAATTAAAAACGGAAAACAAATCAATGATAACATTGCTTGTATAATATCTATAAAAAGATTAAACTTTTCGTAACTCATTCATCAATTTAAGTTAGGGTTGATTGGTGATTTAATATGGTATCAAAATCTTGATATTATTCTGGCCAGTGTCACTAATTTATAAAAGATTAAATTTATTGTAATCACTTAAAACGAAGGAAACTCAAAAATCCAAAATCAAGATAGAAAAAAAGATAGTTCATATTATTTTAACCTCCAATGGCAGAGAGATCAACACTACCCAACAATTGTTCCTTCCATTTCCTCAAGCTTTCATCATCCTGTGGAAAGAAAATCAAAAGAGTAAATTTGGGATGACTTTTAAAAATAATTCTTTTTTCCCTATTTAAAAAAATATTAAACTTATTTTTATACTATACAATACTATTAAAATTAAAAAGAAAAAAACATTTTTTTTCCAAGGGAGCACCTTTCTATTTTTTCAAAAATTCTCTCAAACTCACTCTCGTGTGAAACTACCTTATCTTTCTCGAGTTGTTCCTTGAGAGAGAATTGAGGACCGAGATCCATTTCTCTCTCTGGCTTAAGTTTGTCATCTTCGTCTTCCTCGACGATCTCTTCTTCTCCTTCTCGTTCGTTCATCGTCCTATCGATCTCTTCATCTCGAGGATTGAACTTAACGTCCTTGGTTGAGAGAGAACCAACCATAGCCGACATAGAAAAAGAAGAAAATAGAGATGCTTTTTGCAGCTAACTTTGCTAAAAATAGATGTTTCCCTCCCTTTTATATATAATAAATGTTGTGGAATGTAAAAGAAGGGGCAAGAGAGAGAAAGTTTAGGGCAGCAATATATAATCATTTTGTTCAAACCATATTACCAGCCAACCCTTTTTTCATACACAATAAAATATATATGAGTTTGTATGGTGCATTATATGTACCAAATCAGAAGGATTTTGTATTAAACAATAAGCTACATTATCAAATGATTATGGACAAAGTTCAATTCTTGTCTTGTAATTCAGTTTGAATCAAATTATTTTGATTTGAAGTTGAGTTAGCATCGTATTTATTTAGTCTCTATAAAATTTAAATAAAAAAAAGGAAAAAAATTGGTTAGGTCTCAAATTTTTTTTAAGTACAACATGTGGGTGGGGGATCGAACTCACAAACCAGATGTATATACCAATTATCCTGAACTAGGCTCGCTTTGACGATTAGGTCTCTAATTTTAATAGAGTCAATCTAACAGCATGTCTCAAATCTAATCTAATTTATTTGGTTGTTAGATTACATCATCTTATCCAAATATTATATATAGAGTGGATTACCATCTCATAGAGTTTGTTAACTAATGATAACAACCATGACTAAATTAGATAGAGTGTAGTTTAAAATCTATGAAGGTATATAAATTTTTTTAAAGTTTAAGGATAGAATAGACATAATGTCCAAATTATAGGGACGAAATTTGTAATTTAACTTAATTTTATATCCATCAGTATCGTTCAAATCCCCATGATGGCCACCTATACCTTAGCAACTAGTAATTCCTATGTGTTTTCCAGCACCGAATGTTGTAGGGTCAGGCGGTTGTCCTGTGACATTCGTCGAAGTGTGCGTCAACTAGCCCGAACAGTCACGGATATCAAAAAGGAAAAAACCAGTATCATTGTTTTTTTGTGGTGTGTCTTGGTATCTTTTAAGGCATTTTTGTGCTTGGTTTTATTTTTCTAGAATATAAATATGCCTTAAACGTTGAGAGTTATTCAAAGTTCGCATTATCAGATTTGAGATTTAAATCCATAGGTGTTGTCTCATTATTCTACTTAAACATTTGACTAATTAAGTTAAATGTTTAAAAAAAAAAAAATTGGTAATGGTACTTTTGTTAAAGTAATGACTTAATCCTTGAACTTTAGTTTGTAACGATTTAGCATGATCTGTATTTTCAAATTGGCAACAATTTAGTATCTAAATTTTAGTATGTAACAATTTAGTCATTGTAGTTTAAAATTTACGACCGTTTTGTAACCTATATATATAAGAAACTTAACGACAACAACAAAAAAATACGATGGGGATTAAATCGTTATAAACTTTAAGCTATAGAGACTAAATTCTTACATACTAAAGTTCTTGGACTAAATAGTTACCAATTTGATAATACATGGACTAAATCGTTATAGGCTAAAGTTTATGGACTAAATTGTTACTTCAATAAAATTACAATGACCAGAAGTGTTTTATTTTTTACAAATTCTAGAGGATATATATCTATAAAAATAAGCAAGTGAATACGTAGAACATAATGCATAAAAAGCTACGAGAAATATAGAGAATTTAGGTATACGACTCAACAGATCAAACCTAGAAATAAGATGGACGAGATGAATTAGATTATTTCAAGTGTATTTCTATGTCTACGTGGATGCTAAATATATTTTATTATGGATAAAAATATTAATCATACATATAAAGTTATTTTTCTGTAAAACGTATTATAAGGCAAAAGATCATGTAAAAAAAAAAACAGAGAGAAATCTTTTTTTTCAATTTTCAGTTGGTTCTTCCAAGGAAAAAGAAAAAAGCCCATAAAACAAGATTGATTATAAATGGGTTAGTTGAGTCACATGGGCCAGACCACCAATGGGCCTATAAAACCATATAAATGGGCTTACCTGAACATTATCATTATAAGGTATGCTTTCTTCTTTTCTTTTCTTTTTTTTTCCTTCTTTTTAGATTTACTAAACCAAATAAATTAAATGGATATTTGTATAGTAAATTTAATTTTAAATGCTATTTTTCAATTGTATGGTTAAAAATTCTGAAAACAACATTTTTTTTTTTACGTTTGTAGTGTTTGTAGATTTTTGAATTTGAAACTTTAAAATGGAGATTATATTAAAAATTATAAAGACTTTGATAAATATACTATCTCATGTTACAAAATTATTTTATTTTATTTATTTATTGTTAAAATTAAAACATATAAAATATAATTTGTAAAATAATAATTCTACAAAATTTATAATGAATAAATTAGTTAATATTGAACTAAATATTTTGTTGGTTACTATGATTCAATTTTAAAATCAGCTATCAAACACATATTAGAAAATACCAAGAATACAACTATCTTTCATCATTTCTTTTCAAATTTCTATTTTCATATCACTAGTCAAATGCACTCTAAAATTGAGTTTTCAATGAGTCAATTTTTCATCAACATTTTCAAATATTAATGGGTATATCAACATGAAGATGAATTGACATTTTCCTAGTAACCACACCGTTAGAAGGCTGCTAATAGAGAATGTTTGTATTTCTTTGGATTGGTAGTAATGGAACAGTTTCATTTCTCCTTTAGAGATTTTTCAAGAATACCAACAAGACCTTCTCTAGGATAAAACAAGCCAAACCTTTGATCGACCTGGAAACATCACAAATTCTAGATGTCGATAGTCTGACGCTTTACTCCTACCCCCACAAAGAACTCCTGAATGAGCGCAGCGCCAAATATGGATATGATACTAATATTCCTAATTTTTAATTTATTTAAAAAGAGTCCAATCTTTATTTATTTCATTTAAATATTTGTTATAAAATTTTTATTTTCATATATATCCATCAACATCGATATTTTCCTCGATATCTTACTAAACATTTGAGCACGTTATGTCACTGTTAATTTTTAGGAGAGAAAATAGAGGGAATGACAAATAGAGTTTAATTGAATTGAATTGCTTGATACAAGCTTAATGACCTATTTATAATAGTATAATGCCTAGTCATAATAGGAATAGGAAATCTAACTCAAATAATATAATTCTAAATTAAATCTAATTCAAATCTAATTATAATTCAAATAATATTATCAATGCCTCCCTCAAATTCACAATACTATACTAAATTGTGAGTTTGCTAAATAAGCCAAAACTAACGCCTCAATCAAAATAGAAAAACAAATCTAATATTAATAACAAAACTAAACTAAACCAAATGAAGGTAAAAAGCTACAATAATGCTGAAGCGGCAGAATGTTGTAGAAACTATAACATGACAACGAACAACCATGCCAACAACCAATGTCAATGATAATGCCAATACCAATGCCAACGCCAATGTCAACCAACAAGTCAATGCTAACCAACAACCAATGCCAATGTCAAGACCAATGCCAACCAATGTCGATGAAACACACGAGTCCACCGTCAAATTAAATCCTCCTTGAATAATACATCAAACATTATTTATCTTCTTCTCCATCTCCCTCCGTATCTTTATCTTCTTCCTCATCCTCTTGCATGTTATCTTCCATATTTGATTACCTCAACTAAAGTGGCTACGATATCATGTTAATTTTGAGGGGAGAAGATCATAATAGGGAGAATAACAAATAGGGTTTAATTGAATTGAATTGATTCAGACAAACCTAATGACCTATTTATAAAACTATAATTCTTAATCATAATATAAATATGAAATCTAATTCAAATAATATAATCCAAACTAAAACTAAATCAAATCTAATTATAATTCAAATAATACCCCTACAAATTACAATTAAAATCCTAAAATTTTAAAATTCAAAATTTTGAAAGTGCCATCTAACACATTTCCATGGTAAAACTACAACAAAAGAAAGTCTATGGTTAATTATTATTATTATTATTTTGTTAATTTTTATTTTATCCCTATGATTTGTGTCTTATTTCAACGATTTATAGGTTGGTAAATTCTCAAAACATTCTTCAATTTACCATTACTGTCAACTTTGAGCAAGACAGATTTTGAAAGACTTAATAGAAGTTTAGCGTATAAATTAAAATGAAATACAATATACAAGGCTAAATTAAAAGGAAAATTGCAGTGGGTAGCAAAAATCTCTTATATATTTTAAAATATATCACATGCATGTTTCTAAAATTTTAAAATATAGCAAGAATTTTCACTTATATTAGTACACTACTAGAATTTTTGGATTTTGTGATGGTACTGAACAGTAAAATACTGTTCACGATTGTCTAAATACGTCACGAAAGGTTAAAACGCATTTTTGGAGGGAAAAAGTGGAGAATTCCGGATTTTTGAATTTTAGTGACGCTTTTTTTCCGTCACGAAAACCTTGAGGCGCATTTTTGGCGGGAAATGACGGAGTGTTCTGGATTGGCGGCTTTTTCATGACGCGTATAAAACGTCACAGAATATTATTTTTTGTGACGTTTTATAATCATCACGATACGATAAGAAGATTCCAGTCTTATTCGTGAAAAGGTATGGCTTTACGTGACGTTGTTTATATGTCACTATAAGTTGGAAAACTGTATTTTAGTGACATCTGATAAAACGTCACTAAAATTGCTTTTCGTGTTAAAGTCAGTTTTCCATGGATTTTTTTCATTAATCCAAAAAGATTTAAATAATGCTTACATTTTCAATACAATGGATTGCAATTTGATATTGCAAATCATAAGAAAAATAAAAATGCAAATTTTTGTTGAAATTTATAAATTACAAAACTGGAGAAAAAAAATAAAGAATTTAACTATTTTAAGCTAATTTGTTGGAATGTAAGTTAAGAAAACATAAAAGTCTACAAGCCTAAAATTTATTCGAAATTTTTCTCTCAAAATATTATTTAAATATTGAGGATCAAATAATTGCGATTTTTCTTTTTTACTTTCTAATTTTACCTATATATTTAATACCCAATATTTTCATATATTTTTTCCTTCATCGAAAAGATTTAATGAATCTTGAGAAAGGAAATCTTGAAAAAAACAAATTTTGTTCTGTAGAATGTAAATTTCAAAACATAGAGAAGAGGAAAAAAAATAAAATTAACTACAAAATCTTTTAAAAATTATTTTGTATTCTCTAAAAGGGTTAAGGTTTCCTAAAAACTTCTCCTTCAACTAAATCCCTAAATCTCCCTTTACCCTTTCAGACGAAATCCCTAATTTCTAAACGACTCCCCATTGTGTCTCTTTGTTCTGCCGCCCTCTCTATTCGACTTCACGTTCTTCATCATCGGCATGAATCTCACCGGCTTTCCCACTCTCACTTACAGAGCTGCCGTCTTCGCCGCCGCCAGCGCCGCGTAGTCCTCTTCGGCCACCGAAGACCCCCAACCTCTGAAGAAAGAAGAAGAACAAGCCAATCCAGTCACTGCCATCGAAACAACTTCCTCTTCTCCTTCTCAGGTACAATTCCAAACTCATTTCTTTCTCTGCCTCTCTGTTGTTGGATTGGGAAGTCAATCCCATAAGAAATATAAATTTGTGTGGGTTTAGGAAGTCAACTGAAGTTATATAGTAGTGTTGGATTGGGAAAGAGAGGGCAGCATAGTATTACTGTAGGAGAGGAGATGGTGAAGGGAATAACTAAGCTGGGAATGGTATGGGTGGTTTTGCACCGTCTGATTGGGTTATGTAATTTAGGGTTGGTGTGTAAAGAACATACATAATTCTGTAATTATGTAATTTGTATTTGAGAATACTAATACATTCTAAATTAATATATTAGCTTCCTTGTTCATGTTTAATATATTTCAACTTTGTTATGGTAAATTAATATATTTGCGTGTTCGAACGACAATTTAACAATGTGATATTTATATTCGACGACATCTACAGTCAAAATTAAATACGTATTCAGTGGCTCTCTTTTTACCGTCACAAAATGAAATCATTAGTGACGTTTTTAAATCGTCACCAAAATATTTTTTAGGACGCTTATCAAACGTCACGAAATTCACTTTTCGTGACGTGAACACCGTCACAAAATACAATTTTCGTGACGTTTAAACACGAAAGGATGTCACGTGACCTCTCCTCCCCTTTTCAAGGTCTTTCCGTGACATTCTTTAATCGTCACGAAATCATTTTTCATGACGGTTTATGAACGTCGTGGAAGTCCATGTCTTTCGTGATGCTAATTAACCGTCACGTGTGCTAATTTTGGTAACGTTTTTTAAACGTCTCGTAAAAACGTCACGAAAGATTTTTATGACTCCAAAAAAACGTCACGGTAGACCGAATTTCTAGCAGTGGTAGTATATCAGATACTCAAATCAGTAGTATATCAACAGTATATTTGACATTCATATCAGTAGTATATTAGATGTATATCACATACATATTGTACAGATACTCATATTAGTAGTATATCAGATGTATATCAGATACATATTGCAAGTATATCAGACACTCATATCAATAGTATATCAGATGTATATCACATGCATATATCAGTAACCACATATATTATAAATATATTACAGATGTATATCATTTGAGTAAATTTGTCATTTTCAAATTGGACCTTCATTTAAAAAAAAAAAGTGCTATATTTGAAAAAATTAAATATGGTTGCTATTTTGCTAATTTTACTAAATTTTTTTTGTACAAACTAAATTAGGTGGTATAATTTTTTATAGGAAAAATTGTAAAAACCACCACTAATTATATGGGTGGTTAATATATCAATTTCACCATTTTTTCTCTTTTTAGTACAACAATGGTGTGGATGGGGATCAAACGTCCGACCTCGAAGTGAAATTTGATCAATTTCACCCTTTAAGCTTAAGGAATGATTGTAATTAATACTTAGATACGAAAACTGCACAACCCACCTTTTATTTAAGTACAACAAATGTGAGAGAGATGATTTAAACCTTCGATCTAAATAAACGAGTAGAGATATTAACAATATTTTTAATTTCAGAGTTTGATTGTAACCATTCTTTAAGTGGTTAGTACATTCTACAAAGGTTCAATTAGCACACATAGTAAGCTTAGGATGATGCTCGATAAAATTGAAAGTTTGAGGGATTCTAACGATCTCTATAATTCATGGTGGTTTTCTTAATATTCTCCATCATATATATCGAATCTAATGTTTTAAATATTGATGTCAATAAAATATCCAGATCTCAAATTAATAGAAGGGTTGAGGGTATCTGCTCGGGATGCCTCGAAAGTTCACACCACATTGTGCAGCCTATACACATCAAGCACGGTCATGTTGGTTGCGCCCTCTCTAAAGAACTACATCCCTTGTACAACTCATACTAAAGCACGACCATGATGACCGCACTCCCATTTGGAGGGTCGCGCCTTTATGCGGCTCACATCACTAACGCATGCGATGCGCTCTATGCACACCCAACGTGGCACACACACTACCATCACGGCCTCACTAGCAGTACGCACGCGTGGAGAGTGCCAACACTCTTGAAATCACTGTGGCCCATCGACCAAACCCTTACGCACCAAGCGTGGCACAGATACGCCACCACCACGGTCCACCGGCCCAAGCCTTACGCACCCAGCGTGGCGTGTGCGAGTGGTGGGCTAACAAGTCGTGGTGATGGCATGTGTGCCACGTTGGGTGTGCAAGTGGTGGGCCGATGGGTCGCGGTGGAGGCATATATGCTCGCTTGGTGCGCAGGGTTAATTACGATTGTAATTTCAGATAGGTTTATATCTCTATTATAATTTCAGATAGTTTTAGTAACAACCTTAAATAATTTATGATTCCGATATTCCTAGTAAATAACATCAATTGAATACTATTCTCATTTCGATTGATTTGATTTCAATTATGGGTAAGTTAACATATAATTAGTTCATTTTAATTTATGTGCTATTAAAATGATCACTTTGGTCCTATACTTTTAAAAAGGGACAATTTTTAATACCTATTTACAAAATTTAACTCATGTATTACACATAACAGAAACTATTTAATATGAAGTTACGATTACATTTTAAGAAATATATTGAGTTCAATGTCGTGTTGAAATTGTAATAGAGAAAATAAGATTAAAAATAAATTTAAGTGACTAAAATGGTCACTTTATAAGATACAAAGATCGAATTGTATGATGACCGTTTACCTTAAGAATTAATTCCTTTGTGTTTCTCGATCATATGATCCAGTAGATGCACCTGAGATTAATCGAGGTGTGTGTAAACTAACTTGCACACATGCATATAAAAAAAATAACTCCAAGATTGAACATTTTGAAAGTATAAATACTAAAATTAACCAAAATTTATGAAAATAATATTAAAATAAAAAAACAGAAAAAAAAAACAAAAAAACAAAAAATCAACGAAACTGTACATGCCAAAACAAACAGGTGGTCCCTCCAAATCCCAAAATTACAAAACACGAGGGGCACAGCGGCAACGCCAAAAACCGACATCTGACTGTCGCGGAGCCATAAAAACCCCGTCAGACCAACCGGCATTTCCCCGTCCCCGGTCATTAATTCTCCCTCCCGTGATCGTACTGAAAAAAAAGTAAAAAAGCGAACCACTATATAAATAAATAAATAAATAAAACCACGAACGCTTTGGTTTCCGGCGCGTAAACGGCGGCCGTTTCTGCTTCTGCTTCCGCTGCGTACGGTGGTCGGGTCAGGAAAAGTGAGCGCGAGCGAGCGGCGGTCGGCGATGGCGGACGGTGCCGACGGGGGAGAGGTCACTCTCAAGGACTTGAAGACGAAGATGGCGGAGTTTGCGAGAGAGAGGGACTGGGATCAGTTTCATAGCCCTAGAAATCTCCTTCTGGCTATGGTAATGCCTCCTGTTTTCTTACGCCTTTGCAATGTGGATTAGAATTTGAATAATATATATATATATATATCTTCTTCCGCCTCTCTTCATCGCAGTCGGAAACTAATTGAAAGAAAATTTTTCGGTTTATTTTTCACGAGAAATGAGAGGATCATCAAACAGTTTCAGCCGATCGACGTCCTTTTCTTACTATTTTTTATACCAGTTTTGTGCTAATAATGTCTATTGGGGATTTCTCGTTCGTTGATGGATTCTTCGATACTCTCTCTTATTCGTTTAGGGTTTGACTGAACTTTGCATCTCTCTCTAACTATTTTGTGCTATTCTTGTGATGACTGGAGTTACGTTGCGTTATAGAAGATTTTGGGAGTATGATTTCTGCTTGGCTTGAAATTACTTAATGCGTATGTGACCAAATATTGGTGTTCTTCTGAGTAGATTTTACCGATATGACCGCCCAGAATCTGTCTCATTTATATTTTACTAAGCAATCATTCTCAAATTTTAGGAACAGTAAAAGCAGCTTCCGATTGCTATTTGAAACTATGGAAAGTGAATTAAAACGTAGGCAGAGAATCATGATAGCCATTCCATTTAGTGGGTTATTGCTCAATGAATCATATAGTTTCTCTACCAAGTTTTTGTCTGGTTTTGTGAATTGAAACATAGAGAACCCAACCGTCCTTTAATTTGTCTGTCAAATGGAAAATGTCTTAACAGTATTTTCTTTGTCAGTTTCTCTAACCCCCTCTCTCAACTTGTTATCTTGTTCATGATTATGATTTGTTTTCTGTTTTGGGATTCTCTCAGGTGGGAGAAGTGGGGGAGTTATCTGAGATATTCCAGTGGAAAGGGGAGGTTCCAAGAGGGCTTCCTGACTGGAAAGAAGAAGAGAAACAACACCTTGGGGAAGAACTCTCAGACGTTTTGCTGTACCTAGTTAGGCTTGCTGATATCTGTGGGATTGATCTTGGGAAGGCAGCTCTGCGGAAGCTGGAGCTGAATGCCAAGAAATACCCAGTCAAGCTCTGCAAAGGCTCCTCAAGAAAACACACACAAATCTGCCAAGAAGAAGATCATTGCAGTGAAAATGGTGGAGAAGAAGAAGACCCCACCAAAGAGTGACAGCAGCAGCAGCAGCATAAGAGAAGGCAGTGATGGTGTCTTCTGAACTTTGGGTATGATTTCATGTCTTTATGACTTGACTTTGGATAGCTTCTAAATTTTGTTGTTGTTGTCATTCGTCACGGCTCTCCTTTTGTGAGTTTTTTTTTTTTTCTCTAATCATACTTTGACACATTTTGTCCTTTGCTAAGCACTTTTCAGCTACAGAACACTCTAGCTGTCCCCAAATACGCCCCACTCTTCTACAGAACTCTCTCAAGTGGCTGGTTGATTTGGATTGTGTTGGGTGGTTTTCTAGAGTCGATGTTGTTTTTATACTGTTGTTTTTAGTCTTAGCATGGCACTTTTTCAAACTATGTTTTAAGAGTGGCTCATATTTTGTGTAACTCTGGATTTGGTATTTAATCTTTTGAAAGTTTCATTTGGGACCTTTTGTAAAAGCATCTATTAAAATTTATTAACAAAAAGTTTGATTTGTTATTAAATCGTTATTTTATTTAACATATTTGGACGAGAGAAAATTTTCTAATATATTATGACATATCCTCTTTATTCACACTATGATTTTGCTTTTATAAATAACTCTTTAGTATTTATAGACATTATATATTTATAAATTATGTTGATGTAGCTACCAATGAATGGGAGTGGTATTCCCGCTATTATAGTACTAAAAATATTCTCATTATGAAGAAATCAATTTTAATGATGGACAAGTTGGATTTCATGTGTTAAGGAGCATTGAGTGACATAAAGCAATATATTATTTTTTTTGCTTAATTAAAGCCTTGAAATCCTAAGTAAATGAATAATTCAACAGAAAATGTTGTCTTAAAACATGTCGCTTCTCATTGGAAGACCGGTCAATTAAATTCTTAACTTTATTCAATTTCAATATAGAAACAGGATCATTTGAATGGAAAGGAGGCTACATGTTCATGGAGACAATGACTGCAAATCATAGGTCAAATAGAAAAGAAATCTGTCTTAAAAGTTAAAACTCCTCGTTTGAAAAGATAATTCCATGTAATATTTTTTATTAAATCGCTACTTAGAAGAGAAACTTAAGTACAAATCTAAAGAGAAGGACTAATATTCAATAGAAAATCGAAATATATCTTTGAAAAGAAAGTTCAGTTAAGAGATTTTAGTATGGAAGTAGCAAAAGGTTTTTTTAGCAAGGTATTTATTTTTATTTGATTCAGTGGTGCATGTTGAATACTAAAATAATTGTCCGAATCAGTGTGGGTTGGTATCTGGCATGGTATGGTATGGTCAGAGGGGCAGAGACTGACACAGGGAGGGGTGTCTTCTCAATTCTCAGCGGACATTTCCAGCTTATTCCTTTCGTACCCCTGACCGGATTTTCTTTCCCTCTCAACCTCATAACATTACCATACCCACGTGGAATCGATATGTCTTTTCCTTCCTTTTCATTTCCTTTTCCTTTTTCCTTTTATAAATTTGGCTTCGATCGTCGATATTTCATTAATATTTTCATATCTATATAAATTTGATATTGATATAAGAAATGAATTAATATTTTTTATAATATTACAAAAAAAAATTTAAATAACATCACGATGCGCTGGATATTGATACGAGAAATGATATAATATTCTCATAATATTGCAAAGAAATTTAAATAATATTAGTATTAATATTTTTTAATTTATTTAAAAATGGTGAAATGTTTATTCGTTAATTTAGATATTTGTTATGAATTTTTTATTTATTTTTTATTTTTTAGAAATATGCATCGACATTTTCATGAAATTGAAACCATGGTATTTCTATCGATGTCGACTTTTAAAATCTTATCTAAAATGGCTAAATATATATCAAATTGTCCCTAATTTTTTTTATATATTATTAAAATTTTTCATTTTTAATCTTAATGTATTACAACTTCTCAACCAGGTCATTCTAAAAATATATTAAAATATGTTGATAAAAAGTTTATGTGTCTTTGTTATATATTTGAATATGTGGGAATGTCAGTTAAAATAAATGGTTTCATTGATGTGAAAATTGGATTTCATTTGTCCAATTTTCAGGGTTGGAACAACTCTCTCCCTCCACTCTTTTAGCAGCTCCAAACTTTCACTCTTCTGCCAGTTCCAAACTTTCCTTTTGGATGCATTGATTCATTCCTATTCACAAAATCAGTCTTGTTCCAAGCGTTAGAATTGGAATATGTGTTAGCTTTAGATGTGTACCTTTTTTAATACTCTTTGTCTTCCATCAATTGATCTTCAATTTTGACAGCATAATGGTACATGTATCTTCTAGGTAAGTGGATTTCTATCAACCAGCATGAGCAATTTTCCGATTCAAACCTCCAAGAAATCTAGATATGGTGTCTTCCTCTTCTTCTCGGATTTGGTTTTTAGCATTAAGGTCTCCATCTCTTGATAATACTCCAGCAACACTTTTCATTCCCTGCCTTAAAGCTTGCAGTTTAGTTTTCAAATCTCTTTCATAGTGTTTTGGAACGTACCTCCTTCTCATGACTTCTTTGAGTTCTTCTCAAGTGTCTAATGGATCCTCCTCCTTCCTTCTTCTTTCTGATTTGAGATTTTGATACCATTCACCGGCATGATTGGTGAATTTAGCAATGGCGAGTCTCATCTTCGTATTCTCACTATATGTATAGCAATCAAACACATGTTCTATCTTCCTTTCCCATTGCAAGTAAGCATCGAGGTCCGCCGTTCCACTAAAGGGTAGAATTTTGAGTTTAACTCTGCATCCCTATTTTCATTTAATCTTTCAAATCTTCTAGGTTGCATAACGTTGGCAAAGTTATTTCGTCCTATTCCTCTTCCATTTCTTCTTCCTCCAACTTGTCTTTCTTGTTCAGCAAAGTCAAACGCATCATCTTCTTGTAAGGCTTGTTCTTCTCTTTGTTGTTGCGCTCTCATTTCTTGTCTATCTTCCATCATCATTTCCATCATACCTTGAATTGCTTGAAGAATAGCCATATTAGGATCTTGTGGTACTCCATCCTATGCCATTTTGTTTGGAATAATAATAATAATAATAATAATAATAATAATAATAATAATAATAATGACCTTTCCACTCTTCTCACAAATATTTCTCACTCAAGGAAAGACATGTTTATCACTCAAAAGGTAGGCTTTTGGTACTAGGTCAAAACATGTAAGGGTTGACTTAAAATTTGGTGCAATCTTGCTTAAGGCTTGATATAACCAATAAAAGGAATAACTTTCACAAACTAAGACTTAGAGTGACTCAATCTTAGAACCAGCAACTTAAAATTTGAACGAAACACAATACAGTGATGAAAACTTTTCCTGTGATTCGGATCTTCGAATGTTTTTTTTTCTAGTATTTTCTTTCTTTTGCTACTGATTTTCTTTTTCTTTTCTTTTGCTACTGTTTTTTTTCTTATGAGTTTTTTTTTTTATCCGAGAGCAAAATACACGAATTGCAAGGCAAGTTGTAGTATGCCTTATGACACTTTGTAAGAAACTTTCGAAAAAAAATGACAGAAAATAAAGTAAAGATATTTCACCTCTAGAGCCGGTCAAAGGATGTCGACCAATACTCTAATACCAAATGATAAGCGCCAAGGTTGCTCGGGTTTACAAAGCTAGAGATGCTTCTAGGATCCTTACAAACATTCAGTACAAAAGAGACTAACTTACTGAATGATTCCAACCAAGAGTAAGGTTAGAAGATGAATCACTCTTAGATCACACTTAGAATCTATGATGGTTACTCCTAGATCCTAGATGACTCACTCAAGAATTAGCTTGATCAAGACTAATCCAATGAATCGGTTTAACATCAAACCTAAAACAAAGTTTGAAAGAGACAACACCAAATGCGTTAAGGAACAAAAGTTCTTGATTTCAACATGAATCAATGTGTCAAAACAAGGTGATTACAAGCCTTTAAATAGGTTAAGGGTTGTTCAACAAAGGAATACCAAAAGTTCTTCAAAATCCTACTTAATGCAAATTGAAAAAAATAAGGCATGCAAATTAAAACTTGATTGCACATCAATCTAGACTCTTAAATGTGGATCAGAAAAACGTAGTCATGCTTCAAATCGTCTTATCTATTTGTAGGAGGCGCTTCACATTTGGATATGGTTTGACAACTTTTGACTTCACAAACTCCCAAGAGGTGCAATCTGCAAAGCCACCTGTTCACAAATTTGCACACTTTTTTTGTCCTCCGTACCATCTCTCAAAATAGACAACTTTCCTCATGACAATTTGCTCAATTCTCTTCTTGACTCATTGAAGTAACATTGTAAAGAATTTTGGCTTAAAAAATCTTCATCTCCTTGTGTGTATTAGCTAACCTTTGAAGATATAATATGAAAGCATCTTGAATCTTCTTTGCTTTGCTTCTTGTGATTGCTCCCTCAGGTACATTCAATGGATCAGTGGTTGGATTTGCATCAACTACAATGGCCCTCTTACRGGTGAGAACCAACCCGATCGACTCTCTTTTTGTCCTAGGCTAAAGAGAAACTCACGATCCTCTTTACTGGTTCAGGATCCAACCAATTGACTTTTCTCACAACTCAAGGTGTACCAACACCTTAATATAAAACCCAATTTGAAAATAAATAATGTAAAAACACAACTGGGTTACACAAGATTTTGCACCAAAGTAATAGCTAAAAAGCTACACTCTAATTTATCTCTCACAAAGAATGAACAAGTTATGTGTAGGAGGGAATGAAAACTTTGCAAAAAGTTGAGAGAAGAATTTGAAGAGAGAAAGATTTCGCTTTGATAATTGGTGTGTGGAGAAGGATGAATTTCGAGGCTTTAAATAGAGTTTCGTGGATGAAACTTGGCCATTGGATTTAGGGCAACAAATGATGCACGATGTAGATTAAGAGGTGCAGTAAGGAAATTAAATAAAAAGGATTTTGGAGAATGGGAGAAATTTGTGGAAATTGAAATCAAATTCATGGAAATTGAAATGATTGTAAAGATTGAGAGTGATCAAGGAGATTGAGAGAAATTTGTGGAAATGGATTTGTAGAAATTGAAAGTGCCACGTGTTGTCTTCTCATTTGTTTGAATGTTGGATTGGATGTCATAAGTAAGTCATCTTGATGTTACATGTCAACTTCTAAGTGGTCCACTTATCCATGTCATCCATCACGTAGGATTTGTCCACTTGTCCATATCACTCGCCATGTATGATTTTTCTCTTGACTAGTTTTGACCAACTTCTTCGTTTGAACTCTGATTTGAGTGATTCGAAAGGTGTTGATTTTGTCTTTTCAACCTCTATGTTGTAGACACTTTGAAACACTCAAATTGTTAGTTTATACTTGGTTTGTGATCATCAAAATATTTGATTTGATTGAAACCTTAACTAACAACTTTGGCCTCAAACAGATTAATTAATTCTTATCACCCCACTTAAAATAATT